TCCCCCTCCCGGTAACCAACAAAGAAAGTTTTCTTTCATATATAAACCTTTCCTTGACTTTTTACAATAATGAACTAATACTCTAATACTATATTTGTCCTTCTGTGATTGACTTATTTCACTCAGCATAATGTCCTTAAAGTTCATCCATGTTTTGTGGCATTTTACAGATTCTACATTATTCTTTAGTGTTGCATAGTATTCCATTGTATGTATGTACCATAGTTTGGTTATCCATTCTTCTGTTGATTGGCACATAGGTTGTTTCCATCTTTTTGCTATTGTAAACAGTGCTGCAATGAACATGTGTGTGCATATATCTGTTCTTTTCCTGGCTCTCACTTCTTTAGGATATATACCTAGTAATGGGATTGCTGGGTAAAATGGTATTTCTAAACCTAGCCTTTTAAGGAATCGCCATACTGCTTTCCACAGTTGTATCATTTTACAGTCCCACCAGCAGTGTATGAGAGTCCCAATCTCTCCACATCTTCGCCAGCATTTGTGATGTACAATTGTTAATAGTATTCTCTTATAATCCTTCTTATTTCTGTAAAGTAGTAGCAATGTCCCCACTTTCATTTTTAATTTTAGTCATTTGTGTCTTCTCTCTCTTTTTCCTTTGCCAATCTAGCTAAAGATTTGTCTATTTTGTTGATCTTTTCAAAGGACAAACTTCTGGCTTCATTGATTCTATTATATTCCTATCCTCTATTTCATTTATCTCTACTTTATGCTTCATCAGCAAGACTATGGACTCTATAATCAAAAGATGTGTCTCTGAATTTACTTCATAACTTAATAGCCATATGACTCTGGGTAACTGCTTAACTTTGATGAGCTACACTTGGCTCAGTGGAGATAAAAATACAGGGAGCTATCAAAAGAAGTGACTGGTACTCAGCACATATTTGTTTCCGTTGTTGTGGTAGTATTTTTTCAGAAACCCCCTTTCTCCCTTCCTGAGAAGAACACACTGAGCTCTACATTTCATTCCTATATTCTGGCCTCTAAAGCCTGACTCCATGTGGCCAGCAACTAGTGACTGAAAGATGTCAAAAGTATTTTCTTTCTATTGTCAACCCTTAGGGCCAAACCCATTTTGGGGCACATGCTTAGATTTTTATGAACTCAACTTATTTTCATTGACTTATGTGGGAGTTTGGGAAACTGCTGGAGGAAGTGAGAGCTGAGGCAGCTTTGCTCTAGTTTTCAATATGTCTAAATATACTTGTTCCTTAGTCAGGAGGGACTTGGGAATGAGGATGACTGGGGCGTCCAACTAAGGCAGCCCCCTGTGTAATCACTCCTGATTGTTTTCAAATCCTCTGGGTGTGTGTGTGTGATTGAATGAGAGTAAGAGAAGGCAGAAAAGTCATGCACTACTCTTACACAGTCCGGGATACCTTCAAGAGACTCAGCTCATTTTCTTGTCACTGTGGAGACTCAAGTCCATGCTAAAATCCAGGGCCTTGTAGATGACTTGAATTCTGATTCAACTCTAGAATTTTTTCAATGTTCTGGACCCTGTGAATTATTTAGGTGGACTTTTTTTTTTTTTTTTTTAATTTCTCTTTAGAACATTGCTATTTCCATGTCAATTCCTAACAAACACAACCATACCCACTCCATAGATTGCTGTTCTCTCAAAGTGGGGAGGAGCAAGACATCAAGAAAAGAAGATGAAGAGGGGAAGGCAGATGTTATTCATCAATTTGGCTCTTATTTTTATGAGTGCGATCATCTGATCATTCTTGATGCTTTCCAATGTGGCCTCCAGGGGACGTTCTAAGAAAAAGTGGAAGAGAAAGAGCAAGAAGGAGTGGAGAGAAAAAAAGAGGAGAGGATAATGACCAATTGTACATCAGAAAATCAAATTGATTTTTCTTAGTGTCAAAATTAATGTCTTTAGCGAGTTCTGAATTTTTTTTCCTCTACAAACACTACTAAGTTAGGTTGTGAACACCACTCACTTATAGATGAAAGAATTGAAATGTGGATAGGTTAAGTCATTTTCCCAAGACCACAAATGTGGTAGACACAGAACATGGACAGAGGCCTGTCTCCTGACTCACTGTGTAGTCTTCCCACTGTATCATCAATGGTTGCTCTGACTCAAGGCATCTGAGTCATCACTGCAGATTCTACTTTCATAGCAGCCCCCAAATCTATTTCCTTGTCTCCTTTCTCACTGCCATAGTCCTGTGCCAGGGCTTCATGACCTCTCTTCAACACTGCTGACAACTGCCTCCTATCTAGTCTTTAGCCAGGTCACCCCACTCTAATCTCTCTCTACTACCACTTCCAGATTAAACTAACACACAGTTCCAGTAGAAACATCCCTAGGAAAAACTTTTATAGATTTTTCTCTTGCTAACTTATTAAGTGTTAAAAGCTCTTTAGCCCAGCATTCATGGTCTGCCAATGCACCAACAGCGTACCTGCACTCCAGTCCAAACTACCATAGGCTCTGAATATTCCCTACACTCTTTTGCCTCCAAGTCTTAGCTTTTGTACCTTTGTTTAGAGAGCTTTAGCTAAGCTCCACCTAACTGTATATCCATTTGTCTAAATTCCTTGGTGAATCAATTCAAATACCACCCCTACCAGGAAGCCCTTCTGATTCCTCCAACTCTGAAATTCTATGGCTCTTTATCACATTTTGCTTTGTGCTGTGGTTCTGTAAATGCGTGTGCTATATCCACCATTAGACTGTACTCTGTGAGGATAATGACCTATGTCTTGTTCATCTTTTAACTCTCAGATGATAATATATATCATAATATATAGTCCATAAATAATATTAGGAATATTATTTAAATGAATGAATTCCTTTTATAAGATCAAACTGTGCTACACTTTATATTTTTACTTTGAGTAGTTTTCTTCATATTGAAAGCTCTTTATACAGTAGAAACTTTATCTTTTCTAGACAAAATCTTACATATTGCAGTCAGATTTCCACAGTGATAAACACAACTGCCTCAGCTAGGTGAATTAACTCAGTTAAACAGAAAAACTCTAGTTCTCTTGCTCATTGTAGTTTCTAAATAGATAGTGGAAGGATTAACAGAATTCACCAAAGATCTCAGAAATGTCTAAGAATACATATAACTTATCAGTTAATAGAGCTTATTAGATTTTCAGTAAGCTTTTGGTGCACACAGCATTAAGACCACACAAAACCAGTCCCATTGACCTACACTTACTGATAATTAAGTCCACACTAGTAATATGTTAACAAAATGTATTCATTGTTTGAAGTTTTTAAAATCAAGGAGAAATAACACAGCAAACTTATTGCCAATAAACAGGCATGGATTTCTTTTTCATTTTTGGTCTGATTTTAAATTTTTTAATAAAAATACGTATTAGTTAAACAGTTATTTCACCACATCCTGGCCAACACCACAATTGATGCTTATGATCTAAGAGCAAACATAAAATATCAGAAATGACCAGAGAAACTATCATTTTAAAAAGTCTACTTGGAAAAAGGGACAAATTCAAAGGCATGTAGGTATTTCTGAAGCAGATACAACACAAGGATTGAAGCAGGACTTTATCTTCACTTCAGGTGTTAACAGCCCTGATACCCTTTTCCCACTAGATGGGAAAGTGAAAGAATGAGTCTATTATTCCATATGCCAGTTACTAGCTCATTACTGCAAACAAAATTAAAACTTTTAAAGGCTGTCAAATGTTCTTTGTGTGTTTGGGTGTGTGTAGGGTTAGTGGTAATGGGGTACAGGGTGATAGAGAGTTAAAGAGGGAAAGCAATGTGGAAAAGACAGAACATTCTAGAGTTTTACTCTATTTTTTTTTTTTTTAACGAATGGATCATCAATTCTTTATTTTATTTTATTTATTATTTATTTATTTTTATGGACACCTTTATAGTGAAGGAATTCAAAATCAGCTTTTAAATTGAGATTTTTTTCCCAGACCATAATCCTCTCACTGCCGTTGAGTCAGATCCAACTCATAGCAATCCCTCCTTGGGTTTCCGAGGTGGTATCACTACAGAAGTAGATTGCCCAACCTTCCTTCTGAGGAGTGGCTGGTGGGTTTGAACCACCAGCCTTATGGTCAGCAGTCAAATGCCTTAGGCACTACACTACCAGAGTTACCGACAACAATCCTAGCAATGATTAAATATTTAATCATTTTAGATGATTACCCTTGTGGAGTCAGAATAGTGATTTTCAAGACATGTTTTGTTTTCTCTTATGATAGTCTTATTGTGTTAGTTTTGGTGACTTTCTCCCTAAACTCTCAAGACAGTAATGGAACTCATTATACAGTTAGACTCTTGGGCTGCGTTCTGCCCCTTCCGGGAGAAACCCATCAACAAGTTCTTCCTGAGTGTTCACTGAGATGGTGGCTCAGTTACTAGCCATACACATTTGTATTTGCTCTTGACAACTGTCAGCTTCAACCTTCTCCTCCTCATAACCCCTGTCTAAATGGGGTTTGTAATCCCCCTTCCCACCCACTCTCTTCACTCCCTGGGGTAGGAATGTTGACTCCTGTTCTCCGTCACCTGTCAGAATCCATCCTTCTGTCACTGGCTTATATGGACAAGTCAGCCGCCGTCACGTGACCCCTGACTGCTAAAAACAGCTCAGGCACCCACTCTGAACCTGGGCCTGAAACAATGTCTGCCACTGAACTAGACGCAAAGGACACTTGATCACACAATCATTGGAATTATTTCAAGGAAACCCTTTGCAGGAGCCCATCCAGAGCACCGTTTCCCTGCCGTGCGCACTGACGGCCAGGAGATGAGCGCTTCTCTGAATTACAAGTCTTTTTCCAAAGAGCAGCAGACCATGGATAACTTGGAGAAGCAACTCATCTGTCCCATCTGCTTAGAGATGTTCACAAAGCCCGTGGTCATTCTCCCTTGCCAGCATAACCTGTGCAGGAAATGTGCCAGTGATATTTTCCAGGTAGGTTTGTTTGGAATTTGGGAAGTGGGAAAGACTCCTTCCTCTCTGAATCAAATGCTTAACATTGAGATGGATTCCTTTAGAATGTTTAAAACCCTGCATTCATTTTCAAGAAAAATTAATTTTTAAAAACTATTTGCTTTATGTTTTGCTATCAGTCTCTTCTATACTTCCAAGTCTAGTTTTATTTCAATACTAAGAATCATATTTGTTATTGAAAAAGCCAAACCACTGACTCTGGTTCAAAACTGTAAATGAATTACTGTCCAAGAAATTAATGTTGGGATTCCTGGCTGGTATTGTTTGGTTAGCAACCTTGGCTGGAAGAGCATCTTTGATGAAAAATGTTACACTGCAGTTTACTGTGAGTAAATGTTGGCCTTGTTTTTACGGACCACCTGCTGAAATGGCCCTGAGGGAGTATTTTCAGACTGAGCTTAAAGTGGAAGTTGATGTTCTTTGTGGTAACAGATAATAAGAAAAAGTTTCAGAAAGCTACCTACTCATTACTCAACTACTCTATTTTTGTTTGGCAAGAACAGGCCTCTAACCCGTACTTGCCCACAAGAGGAGGCACAACCGTGGCATCTGGGGGCCGGTTCCGTTGCCCATCCTGTAGACATGAAGTGGTTTTGGACAGGCATGGAGTGTATGGACTTCAGAGAAATCTGCTGGTGGAAAATATCATTGACATCTACAAGCAGGAGTCCACCAGGTAACACTCTATGATGTGTCAAACCCATTCAAAACTTGTTCTTGGTTATTTGCTTGTTTGTTTTAATGGGTTGCTACCCTGAGTGCTTGTTTCCCAATCACAGACTAATTATTCTATAGGAAATGTTTTTTTCCAGTCAGTCTTTCCCAAGGGAAGTGAGCGTAGTTCATGGGAGGACAGAAGGGAGCCGGTGCTACAGCTTCTGTCAGTTTGAGAATGATGACTCATTAAAGGCAATCCATTTCATCCCCTAAATTTAAAGCCTTGGATTACATACATTTTGTGAACTTGTACTTCACAGGTCCTTAATAGCTCCAGATCCTAGATAGCAGGAAAATTCTAGTACAAAACTTTACAGAAAATGAATAGTGATAGCAGCTTCCAAAATAGTCCAGTTCCTATTTCAGACGGTCTCACTTTAAAATTGGCTGGATGATAACAATAAAAACAAAATTCTCTAACCTAGCTAATCATCATATTGACTACATGAGAAGTTGCAAAGCAAGAAATAGTCCTGGTCTTTATGGACATCCAGTTTAGAGACACAGGTAAAAAAGAAAAAGTTGAAGTTCAAGTTATTTCCTATTTTCCTAATTATATTTATTACATATGCCTGGCATTCACTTGTGATTAACAGGTATGCAGCAGATACATCCTTCATTTAAAAAAAAAAAAAAAAGTCTTCTTCTTCATTGAACCAGATTGCCTATAGAGTTCATTTCCTAGAGAGAACCCTATGGGAGTTTATTCCAAGAAGGCATGGTGTGAAGAAGCCTTTCTCAATTGTACAAAAGACAGTCCAGACCATCTTTATGATACCAATATTGAGACCAATATTACGACCATCTAGAAGTGACTTCATAGTGATTCTTATTAGGGAATGTGTATTTATGGAACATTTGCTGGGCTCTAAAAACTTTGCGCTCTTGGAAGAAAATCAGTTCTATAAATCTAATGTATAATTATTATGGCTGTTAGTTTCTGCTTAAGATTCAAAACTAAATTAGCTAGTACCAAGATATAGATAGGATAGAGGAAGAATAATAATTGCTGATGACATATTTCAGAGATTAAAGAGCCAGCTGTTTCCCTTGTGTCCAAAGTCTTTTGAGAAGGAAAATGTTGTTGCTACTGTTTCACAAATCTGATCTCATTGCATTTCATTACTTAAAATTGCAAATACACGAGCTATCTCTTAAGGAAATTATCCAGCCAATTAATAATCAACCAATTATTAAAGGAGTTTATATAGCAACTGTTTCAGTGCCTAGTACAGTGCCTGGCATAGAAAAGGTGCCCCATCAGTGCCAGCAGGTTAAACAGCACCATAAATATACTTATATATTCTATTTACTGCAGTAATTTTCTGTTTTGCTATTTGCCAAAATAGGAGCTTGAAACTGGTGAAAATAATAACAGTAATTATTAAGCAATTCAGAGAGGAGGAGATGTTAAAACTTGTAGCATTAGTAAAACTATAAGACACATCCTTACCTTTAACTATAAAGTCTGCAAGGGACAGCTCCCAAAAATAGTACCCAAATTGTATACAAGCAATGAACTAAATATCCATTAATGAAACTTACAACTGAGTGGACTAGTGGTGTTTTTGTGATTCTCAAATTCTTATGCTGTTGTTCCTTGAACTTGAGATTGTCTTTGGGACATTTTCACTTAGTAGCAAAACCACAAGCTGTTTAGAGGGCTTGGGCGCATGTCTGGGCATAAACCAAGTTGTTTCCTGGGGGCTGGTAGCCTTACCAGCCCAGAACCCTGAGCCTACAGGGTACAGTAGGGGTCCCTAGAATAACCTTGGGTGTACAGATTGAGACTTGCCACAGTCATTGGGAGTGGGGTGAAAGAAGAAGGTTGTCAGTAAGGGTCTGGACCTGGCCTTGGACAACATGTAAGGAGTTGATCAACTCTGACTTCCCACAGAAAGACTAGAGATTGTACGTCTAGACAAAACCTAGCTCTAAGCATTTGACTGCTAACAGAAGACTGGTGGTTCAAACCCACCAGTCATTCCTTTGAAGGAAGATTGGGCGTCGGTCTACTTCCGTAGTGGGAGCTCTGGTAGCTAGTGCCTAAGGCACTTGACTGTTAACCAGAAGGCTGGCGGTTCAAACCCACCAGCCACTCCTCAGAAGGAAGATGGGGCAATCTACTTCCATAGTGATAATGCCTCGGAAACCCAAGAAGGGGTCGCTATGAGTCAGATCTGACTCGACGGCACATTACAACTTCCGTTGTGGTACTGCCTCAGAAACCCTAGGAGGGGTCACTATGAGTTGGATCCGACTCAATAGAAGTGAGTAGTATCTAGAGTTCTCCATGGGACTGAACTACTACACTCTGTGTGTGTTTGAGGGTGGTGGTGTGGAGAAGACACTAATTTTGCTACTGTTAATAGTGAACATAATAATGATAAAATTTAATTAAAATATTATAAGTAAGACCAATATTTGCTGACCATTTAGTATACTATTCAGGATGCTTTACACATGAATCATGTGTAACTCTAATTCTCACAATAATCCTGTCAGCTTGTGACTATTATTATTATTATTACCCTATTAAATGCTTTTAATGTTTTAATGAAAATAATTCATATACATAATTTCAATATTCAAATGAATTATAAGATGTCTGAGAACTGCCCACCTCACTCTTTCTTCACCCCCAAGTTTCACTTTCCAGTCAACCACTTTTAATTCTTTTAGCTGTTTTTCCACTATTTATCACCTATGACATGATTCTATTACCACTATTCTGTATTTCTTGATTTTTCAATTCTAGACATACCGATAGACTTTCTGCCGTGGAAGATTAGGACTGAGCCCTTGCATGGCTAGGACTTCCCTTTATCCTCTATCAGAAATTCTGTTTACTCTCTCTTGGGTTGAATCCTTTATTTTCTGGATGCAATGTCTTCCTCTTTGTTGGTCTACTCCCTTGATTTTGTGGAGCACATCCTCAAGTATACTCCTAAATTGTGCAAAAAGTTTTTCTGTTTTCAGCCTCCCCCACATTCTTGCCTTCAGGCTATCTGGCTTCTCCAGTTCCAGTCCTTTCCAAGGTTCTGCAGTTCAAATCAGTTTACTTCTCCTAGGTTTCTCCCCTGTAGTCACTTAGCAGAGCTAAGATAAAAATCAATTAGGTCACTTCCTTTCTCAATATCCCACTTTCCAACATTTCCTTGACATCTCTCATCTGCTGCCACTTGCTCATTTTTTGTCCTTATTGATTTATACCTTTTTATTTCGTGACTTTCATTTTAGTGGGATTTAAGCAAGAAACATAAATAAATGAATGTTTTAATTGCAGCATATCTGATTTGAAGTCCCTTAGTCCAATTTTTAGAGATGAGTAAGTTGAGACTGAAAAGAGAGTGAAACTTGGGGGTGAAGAAAGAGTGAGGTGGGCAGTTCTCAGACATCTTATAATTCATTTGAATATTGAAATTATGTATGTGAATTATTTTCATTAAAACATTAAAAGCATTTAATAGGGTAATAATAATAATAATAATAGTCACAACCTAAGTAACTTGCCACAACTGCTATGTGGCCAAGTTGACCTGAATTCAATTTTAAAATCAATTTAACTAAGAAGGCACTGCCTGAGATGCCTTTCCCAGACCAAATGCCCACCCTCAGGACATTCTAAGGTGATCCCAGAAGCCTCAGAAACAGGCTATGTTGTTGTTGTTGTTGTTATGTGCCGTCGAGTTGGACCTGAGTCATACCGACCCCTCCTTGGGTTTCCGAGGCAGTATCACTACAGAAGTAGATAGCCAAGTGCTTACCTATTGTGCTTCTTTTGTATAAGTATAAGCAAACCAAAACCAAACTCACTGCCGTCGAGTTGGACCTGAGTCATACCGACCCCTCCTTGGGTTTCCGAGGCAGTATCACTACAGAAGTAGATTGCCCCATCTTCCTTCTGAGGAATGGCTATAGACACCTTCAATCTAGCTTGCACTGAGCAGTGAGGGACAACTGCCAACATTTAGCACTGAATCTTGAAATCACAATTGTGAACTTGGCCACCCTCATCTTATTTTTATTCTACATGTGTTGTGTTGTCCTAAGTCTGTTATATGTTTTAAGTTGTTTAAAGTTTTCATTTTATAGCCATTCATTTGTGGAGGTACTTCTGGAGCCTATGTTGCTACCTAAACAAGAAAAACTAATAAGGGATATGGGAAGTAGTTCTCAGTGTATAATGCATTATGAAAAAAATCAGTTGCATCACAAACACACAGTAAAAATGGGGTTTGTGGCCATTTCCCACATTTTCAGTGTTTGTATCTATTGCATACACTTGAGTCAATAGCATTGTCTCTGGTCACTGCTGTTGACATCAGAACAGCACCTGGGACATGGAACATGGGTCTCAGATCACCCTCAGGACATGACTAGGGAAGACAAGCTACATTAGTATTGCCTGTGCCGTTCCACAGAGATGAGCTCTAGACAGTAGCCTGACCTTTTTAATTATGAGGTAGAGACACATGGGAGGAAAGGTTTTAGAGACACAGAAGCTTTTGACCAGGGGACACTCCTTACCACTAGAGAACCTCCAAGGGACTTTGTCATTTGTAAATGCAGTATGCTGTTCAGGATGTGTGTTCAGAATGCTGTCTGGTCTCTCCTTTGCCACTTATGGCTTACAAGTGACCTTGAGCTTTCTTCTATTTCCCATGCCTTCTCCAGATGGATAGCTGTATGCAAGAGTACAAGGAATACTTGTCCTTTAATCTGTAAATTTCTCCTTCATTTTCTCACTCATTTCCTCAATACCTACATAGGGCCGTGACATCAAATATGCATGAACTGTTGAATGTAAAACAAATTTGCTTTGTGAATTTGCACCCAAAGCACAGTAAGAAAAATAATAAAATAAAATCAAAAATAAAAACCAAGGCAGAAATCCTTCTTGAACAAATCAGATTTAAAAATCTTAAAGCTGGAAGTCCATGTAATTTCCTTACCAGATCTAGGTCAGCCCAATTACAAATAGTTAATTTCTTTCTAGGAGCTCACAACACCAAAAAAAAAAAAAAAAACAACCTTCTTTCTAGAGACTTTTGGAGGTAAATCAGCATATCTCTGTCGCTGCCTTTCTCTGACTTCTGGGGCTGCAGTTACATGATACCACATATCAAGATTAGTGCTTTTCAAATGTGTTTGTTCATGATTTACGGTAGGAAATACACTTTATGTTGTGATCCAGTAACATTTATACACATGGATGGATATATATACCTGAAAAAAAACTATATATGCCTGAAATAAAAGTTTCAGGTATCAGTACTTATCCTTACTACATGTAATATACCACTATTTGCTATTCTATTTTATTTTAATTTTAACAATGCTGGTCATCACTCCTTAAATTGATTTCATGGGCTGTAATAATCTATAGTCTGCAGTTTTTTTAAAAAAATGAATGTAGATAACTAAAAAATCTAGTGCCCAAAAATCTAGTTCTAGACAACCATGTGTTTGGGAATATGCAGAAAGTTTTTGGCCTTGGCTTCTTCAAATACTTCTCAAAAAATGTCACCATCTTCAATCTTGAGATTAAACATACAAGTATTAAAAATTTAGGATTTTGTACAAGCAGGTGACACTCACTCTGCCACCGTGCTCTATTGAGAGCTCTGGTAGCGTAGTGCCTAAGGCACTTGACTGCTAACCAGAAGGCTGGCGGTTCAAACCCACCAGCCACTCCTTGGAAGGAAGGTTGGACAATCTACTTCCTTAGTGATACTGCCTCAGAAACTGAAGGAGGGGTCGCTATTAGTTGGGTCCGACTCGACAGCAAATAACGACAACAAAAGCACTACAATCAGGGTGTTGAAGCTGTTCCTTCCTGCCAACCCCCTGCTGAGAATTTGCATTTCTACCCCCGATATACTGAAGTAGAATCTATTTTTAACAAGATCTCCAGATGGTTCTTATGATCATATGCATAAAAGCTTGTTAAAATGTAGATTCTGCTTCAGTATATTGGGGGTAGAAATGCAAATTCTCAGTAGAGGTTCAAATTGGAATGAACTGGTTCAAAGCCCTGTTTACAATTAAGCATAGTTTTGATCTTGAGCTTAACACTCAATCCACGGTGGTCATTAGGTGGTTACACAACATCCTACTAATGTGTTGTTCACTTTTTACCAGCTCCAGGGGATTATGCTGGAGTAGTAATAACTTGCCACTCTCTTATGCTTTTATGTGCATCATTGCTTGGTCATCATCCTCACTAAACCAAAAACCAAACCCCTCCTTGGGTTCCCGAGGCAGTATCTCTATGGAAGCAGATTGCCCAGTCTTCCTTCCAAGGAGTTCCTGGTAGGTTTGAACTGCCACCCTTCTGGTTAGCAGGCAAATGCCTTAGACACTATGCCACCAGGGCTCCCTAGCACAGATAAATCCAATGTTCAATCTTTACCTGCCACATCTGTGAACAAGCTGCTATTTGTATTGATCTGTTGGGAAGACAGATTTGGGGATGATCTTTGAGATCCAATCTTCCAGGATTCAACTATGTCCTAGAATAGCATTTTACATTCTTCTTATTGCCTATGCAGTATAATTATTCACATTTTCTGGGTGTATATACTACTGTACTCTTAACCACAGCCAAGTTCTCCTGAACTTTTTTACATTTAATTTTCTGTGTTGATGACAGGAGGAGACCCAAATAAAATGATAAAGTATATGCTGACATTTTCCCACTTATGCACAGCTACTTCCAACCAATCCCTGGATCAATGATCAGAGAAGATTTTGACTCCCCCTAACTTATGTCACCCTCACTCTTTTATCTCTTTTTAAAATTAATTAATTAATTTTAACTTTTTGTTGTGATTTGGGTGAAAGTTTACATAGAAAATTGGTTTTCCATTCAAGAATTCATACACATTTTGTTTCATGACATTAATTGTAATTCCCACAATGTAACATAACAGCACTTCCCACTTCCTCCCTGTGTTTACCATTCCCATTCCTCCTTCTTTCCTATCCCTGCCTGCCTTCTGAGCTTTATCACTCAGCAAATGGTGCCATTTTGATTTTGTGTGATTGGTTGTTCCAAGGAGTGCTTACCTCCCTGGTGTTCGTGTTCACTTTGTAGGCCTATCTATTGTTTGACTTAAAGTTGAACCAAAAGTTAAGTTAAAAGTTGAATTCAGTTCCAGGCTTGAAGGATGACTAAGGAACATGGTCTCAGGGGTTCCACCAGTTTCTATCAGACCAGTAAGCTCTTTTTTGTTTGTTTTGCTTTTTAAAAATTGTAGTATATATATATATATATATCACATATATACCAATTCAACAATTTTTACATATATCAGTCAGTGACACTGATTACATTCTTCATGTTATATGGTCATTACTACCAACTTTTTCCAAATTTTTTCACCACTGTTAACAGAAAGTCAGTATCCTCTAAGCAATGGTAGTCCTTGGCCTGGTAACTACTAATAAACTTCGGTCTTTATATATTTGCCTATTTCATGTAAGTGGGATCTTAAAGTATTTATCCCTTTATGACTGATGTATTTCACTCAGCATAATATTTCCAAGGTAGATCCATGTTGAAGCATGTGTCATGACTACTTTTTTTTTTTTTATGACAGAGTAATATTTCATTGTATGTGTGTGCCACATTTTTGTTATCCATTTGTCTGTTGATAGATATTTAGGTTGTTTCCACATTTTGGCTATTGTGAAAAGTACTGCAGTGAACACTGGTGTTCCCTACCCCTTACTCCTTTAGACAGGGCCAGAGGCTGGAGGAGCAGGAGTAGTTTACTGGCAACTTTCTCTTCTTCATCTGTAATAGTAAAGTGTCTCTCAGAGAAACTTGTGAGCTATGGAGTCAGTGCTGGAGCTGGAGCTGGCTCCTAATGGCTAGGATCTGAGTATTTAATTTTTAGGAGTTTCATAAGCTGGTTGTTAAATCTTAGGTAACTTGACATTGGCCATGGTAGGAATACTTATACCATGGAAATTGGCGAGTGCTAAAAATCAAGGTCTCCCTTCCTTACCCCACTCTAGCTGGTTGATACAGACTTGCCACCACGTCACTGCTAGACCCATAGGGAAAGTGAATTTGGCAGCAGGGAGGTGGAGGGGAGCTCTGAGCACATGAGAAAGGAGCCCTGATGGTACAGTGATTAAAAGGCTTGTCTGACAACCAAAAGTTTGGCAATTTGAACCCACCAGCAGCTCCATGGGAGAAAGATGTGACAGTCTTCTCTCATAAAGATTTATAGCCTTGGAAACACTATGGGGCAGTCCTACTCTGTCCTATAGGGTCACTATGACTTGGAATTGCCTTGGATGGCAGTGGGTTTGTTTTTGGTTTCGAGCACATGAGTATAACCAGGGGTGCCTTCTGGAATAGGATGGCTGGGGGATCAGGGGCACCTGGGTTTTGCAAAGCTGATCGCCTCTCTCTACCCTGTCCCAATGGGAACTGATGGACATTTGTCTGTCTACCTCCTCGCAGACCAGAAAAGAAGTCCGATCAGCCCATGTGCGAGGAGCACGAGGAGGAGCGCATCAACATCTACTGTCTGAACTGCGAGGTGCCCACCTGCTCCCTGTGCAAGGTCTTTGGGGCACACAAAGATTGCCAGGTGGCTCCTCTCACTCACGTGTTCCAGAGGCAGAAGGTAACAGAGCTGGGGCTGGCCCCTCTTCCACATGCCCTGCTGAGTGTCTATGGGTTGGTTCCCAGATGTGGAAGGAAAACACATGCACTGCTTGGTCACAGGGACCTTGAGGCTTGTGGGGATGGAGAGTCCAGCTGGGAGGGATGCTGCATGGTTAGTGCACATCTGGCCACAGACTAGGTTCCCTGTGGGGTAGTAAGAAAGGATATGGAGAGGCAGGAAGGAGTACAGAGGGGACAGGTTGATGTTTTTTTGTGCATCTGGAGGATGCTGAAGATGAGTGGTGTTGATGGGACCCAGCCAAAGCTCAAGTTGCTTAAGCATTATTCAAAGTTCACACTGTAGATAAGAAAAAGATAACTTTTGACTTTAGTCACAGAATTTTTTTTTCCATTCACCAATGAAAAGTTTTCTTTGTCCCCCTCAAGTTTTTTTCTCCTTCATTCCTAGTGGGTAGAAGTTACAATGAATGAATGGGATTTAGTTAAAGACCAACTCTAAAAGATTTGTCTTGTATTACCCTCATGTCACCTGTGTTCATTGCTGAAAGGCCTCCCCTGAGTGTGGCCCATATCTCTTACACCACAGCCCTGCTCCCAGCCCCATCATTCTAGCCAAACATAGCATTTCCCCCAGCTCACTGCTACCTTGCCAACCTGGTTTCATACATAAGCAGGTAGGAACTTAACCATTTGATGACAATGAGGATGGATGATTCAACAGATACAGCCACTCTAGCACCAGTTGCCATCAAATCAGTTCTGAGTCATGGTGGCCCTTTGTGTGTCAGAGAACTGCTGCACAGGGTTTTCTTAGCTTTTTCTTAATTTTTTACAGAAGTAGGTCTTTCTTCTGTGGCACTGCTGGGTGGGTTTGAACCATCAACATTTAGGTTAGAAGATGAGTACAAATCATTTGCGTCACCTGGAGACCAGGTGTAGCCACTCTAGGCTACATTTTTATTTTGATTTGGGTGAAAGTCTGCAGAGAAAATTCATTTTCCATACAGCAGTTCATAAACATTTACTTTCATGATATTGACTGCAATTTCCCACAATGTAACAGCTCTCTTCCCACTGTCTCCCCGTCCTTCCCTCCCATGCACTCCCGTCCCCCAAGCTATCTCTCTGTAAAAATGCTGCCCTTCTGTTCTCCTACAATTGATCACTCCAAGGATCTATCTGATGTAAATGTTTACCCCACATGCCTGTCTATTGTTTGTCTGGAAGCCACAAGACTGAGTTCAGTTCCAGACCTGAAGGGTAACTAGGGGCCATAGTCTCAGGGGTCTCACCCAGCTCCATCAGACCAGCAAACTGGGTCTTTTTTTTTAATGATTGTTCCACATAGTTCTCCCATTCTATCCAGGATCTCCTGCACTGATCCCCCTCTGAGTGGTTTACAGTGGTTGCCAGGCACCATCTAGTTCTTCTGGTTTCATGATCATATAGGCTGAGGATCGCATGGTCTACTAGTTCTTTGTACTAATTGTTTCCATGCATCTTTGGTTTCCTTCATTCTTCTTTGCTCTGGATGAGGAGAGACCCATCGCTGCATCTAGTTGGCTGCTTCCAAGCTTTTAAAACCCCAGTCACTACTTGCTGAAATAGAAATGTAGAACAATGTTTTTGTGTAGTATGTTATGCCAATTGAGCTTGATGTCCCCTGAGCCCACAAGTCCCAAGCCCACAGGTCCAACTACTCACCTCCACGGGGTAGCTGACTATGGCCAAGAAGCCACCACAACCGTGCATCTTGTCAGCTCTACTGTATACCCAGGCATTCTTACAACTCATACAAATACACATGTAGAAACATCATCTTCCAACCCTATACATGGTCATGGGCACACTTCCCCCTGCCTAGACATACCTGATCATTCAGCCAGTCCACCCATCTATCTACCCATAGATCAATGCTTGCCATTGACTCAGTACTGTACATGCAAAAGGGTTTATCTTTGTTGTCTGTACCTCCTGTGTAGCTCTCTATGTCTTCCTCTTCCTCAGTGCCACCATGTTGATCACTCACTTTTGTTACATTGCCCTCCCCTTCACCTAAATCAGTACTTGTCTCTACCTACTGAAAAGAATTTTAAAGTTGAAATTTCTCTCCTAGTACTCTAAAGTTTGACAGTTTGAACCCAACCAGGCATACCACAGAAAAAAAGCCTGGCATCTGCTTCTGTTAATATTAGAGCCAAGAAAACCCCATGGAGCATAGTTCTACTCTGTACCACATAGGGTCACCATGAAATGGAATCAACTCAAAGGCAATGTGTTTTAATCACATAGTTTAGTGTGTGATTGTATAGACACAATATGCTTAACACATAGTAAATGTAATGTATAATATAAAACAAACAAACAAACAAAAAACACCAAACTCACTGCCATTGAGTTGATTCTGACTCATAGTAATCACTTTTGGGGTTCTGAGGCAGTAAATCTTTACAGATGTAGCTTGTCCAGTCTTCCTTCCATGGAGTGGTTGGTGGGTTTGAAACCCCAACCTTTTGGTTAGCAGTTAAATGCCTTAGGCACTATGTTACCAGAGCTTCTTAATGTATAGTATAGTACAGAATATGTTGAATAAGTCAATAATTGAATGAGTGTTTACTATATACATTTCCCAAGTAAAGTGGATCCTTAGCTTTACTAGGCAAATAATTCATTTTGGATCTCTGAAGTCACATATTGGATTTCATTCAATTTATCAGCAATTTCAATTCTTTAGAAGTCCTTGAGTGGTGCAAAGGAGCCCAGGTGGCACGGCATTAAAATGCTTGACTGCTAATCAAAAGGTCAGCATTTCAAAGCCACCATGGAAGAAAGATGTGGCAGTCTGCTTCTGAAAAGATTTACAGCCTTGGAAACCTTAGGGGCAGTGCAAATAGTTAATAGGCTTCTAAGTTCAAGTCCACCCGGATACATCGTAGAAGAAACTCCTGGTGAAAACTACCACTGAAAACACAGCCATTGAAAATCTTCTGGAGTACATTCTCTGACATATACAAGGTCGCCATGAGTCAGAGTTGACTGTGGCAACTGACTATTGGTTACTTGCAATTCTTTAGCTTTAATCTGCTATTCTGTATATGGCCTGAAGTGCAGTGCTCTTAATATCTTTAGCAGGATCACAGTGTGCATTGAGAATTTGGTTAAAAGTATGAAATCTCTTCCCAGAAAATGCACTTGTACGTGCCTATATACAAAATTTTGCATATGATATCAGGAGGTTCACAGGCCTCCCAAACCTCCCCGTTACTCTTAGGGGTCCCCTAGGCTCTAGATTAAGAATCCACGAGGACAGTGCTACTACTAATGTACAATCAGTAGTGACTAGCAAAAGTCTAAAATCTTACATCCTCTCTTTTCTCTTTATCAGTCTGAACTCAGTGATGGCATTGCTGTCCTTGTGGGAAGCAATGACCGAGTCCAGGGAGTGATCAGCCAGCTGGAAGATACCTGTAAAACGATTGAGGTAAGTCAGGCATCTCCAAGGGAATCTAAACCAAGCCCACCACTCCTGGGGATTTGTGGTTTTCCAAGGGCCACACTGTATCAGGCAATGTGTCACTGCTATTCATAAGATTTTCACTGGCCAATTATCTGAGAAGTGGATTGCTCCTTCCTTCTTCCAAGTCTGTCTTAGTCTAGAAGCTCCTCTGAAACCTGTCCACCATGGGTGACCCTGCTAGCATTTGAAATACTGCTGGCTTAGCATCCAGCTTCACAGCAACATGCAAACCACAACAGTATGACAAACTGACAGATGAGTTGGTCATGTCAGAAAGGACCTTCCTTGGAGAAGAATATCATGCTTGATAAAGTGGAGGAGGTCAGTGAAAAAGGGGAAGGGAAGGCCCTCAATGAGATGGATTGACACAGTGGCTGCAACAACGGGCTCAGGTATAGGAAGGATTGTGAGGCTGGCGCAGGACCGGGCAGCGGTTTGTTCTGTTGCACATAGGGTCACTGTGAGTCGGAATTGACTGGACAGCACCTACCAACGACAACAACAACAACAAAAGGGCCAACTAGAAATCCCTGTTCCTACATTTCATTCCTTCCTTGTTTCTGAAATATTCACCTCCTAGCACAGAAAGAGAAATTGCCACATGAGTTAATAAGGCCTCTTTTGCTACTTTTAGTAGGGTTATAGTTACATGTGTTGTTCTTTCTTGATCAAAGTGAGCTACAAGAAAAATATATTTCAAGTAATGAAACAAGTGGTGTTCACTCTTCTATCAAAATTCCTTTGTGCTTAAAAAAAAGAACAAAACACAGAAAACCTCAGTGCTTAAGAAAGTCTGAGTTATGTGTCTGTGATCTAATAGTGGGCTGCAGAGAGCCAGTAGGAAGGGTCTTTTGGGCTGGCTGTAGTTAGAGAACAGTTCAGTAGCTGGGAACTCCTTCAAGTTAGAATTCAGGCTCCTTGGTCTCCCTTTCCCCTCTGTCTGTCTCAGTGCCTGGCATATAACAAGCACTCCATGAAAACTTGTTGAATGGATGATTGATGAGTTCACACTTTGTCTTGGTATGTAAGAAATATTGCCAATGCATTTTTTTCTCAAGATCAAATTTAAATTGTGTAATTGCTAAAGGCAAAGTGTTGAAGCCCAAACAAGTATAACCATGTAACAGATGTCTTTTCAAGACTGAAGATTCTCAGACTGGCTATAGCCATGCTGCAGAGTGGGCAGATGCAAGGGTACCTGACCTCAAGTCTAGGCCTATGGCTCTGAAACCTGCAACAATTTATTAATAACTACCTGCTTTAAACTTCTCTCTGGGTGGTCCAGAGAGTCAATGTACATAGCTGCTAACTGAGACGTTAGAGATTCAAGTCCACCAGAGGAGCAAGAAGAAAGACCTGGTGATCAACTTCCAAAAATCCAATGGAGTACAATTCTTCTCTGACACACATGGGGTCACCATGAGTCAGAGTCAACTCAGTGACAGCTGGTTTCTGACTAACCATTGGGATTATTTTTAAAATTGGACCACTGGTACAGAGGGTTGAGACATCCTTTGGCTCAGCTCATGGCACATTGTTTCGTTGCTGTGTACAAGATCCCCTCTGGTTATCTATATATTTCCTTTTGTCCCATTTTCCACTCCTGTTCTCTTCCCCATAGATAACTATTCTAACAAGTTTAATGTTCTGTTTGTCTGGGATTCTTATAGCATAGCATATGTATTGTTTTATATTGAAGTATTTCAGTTTTCTCCTTTGTAAAAATGGGGTAATAATTAACCAGTTACTCTTGAGTCAGTTCCAACTCATGGCGACCCCATGCGTGTTAGAGTACAACTGTGCTCCATACAGTTTTCAATGACTTTTTTGGAAATAGATTACCAGGCCTTCCTTCTGAGGCACTTGTGGTTAGCAGTCAAGTGTGTTAACCATTTCCACCACCCAGGAGTTCCTGGGGTCATCATAGTCCTTACTTTATAGAGTTCCTGTGAGGAATAAATAAATAAACATATGAAAAATGCTTAGTACAGTTCCTGGAGTGTGGTGAGTGGCCCGAAAATGCTAGATGTTCTTATTGTTCTATTAGAAAGGCAAAGTCTACTCAAGGCCAAAGGCCAGTTTCTAGATAATGGCTTCCAGACATTAGCCAGCATCATCTCATTTTAGATTTATAAATTGCTAAAATCAATCTCCTTTCTTCTCCACATTCACATTCCTGAAAAGATTCATGATAAATCTGGGATCCATTTATAGAGGAAAAGTTTTCTTTGGTAAAGAGCCTAGAGAGAAAGATTCCAAAATAGACAATATAAACTTTTTTTCTCTACTTATTTACTGTAAAGGACAAAAACAATCATTCAGCCATGAGTCAATCACTTCAGCTGTATCACTTTGTATAAATAGGATGGTGTTGCTTGTGGGCAAGTGAAGGTCATCCCTGCTTTCATCTCTGGTGGGGCCTTCATTGGAGACTTCTGTCCGTGGAACAAGAAGCTTTCTGCCTGGGACAAAAAGATGGAGAATGCTTATAGGTGAAGATCCCTGTGGTTCATGTTTGGGCCTTGAAGAACAAATGCTAAAGACTCAGGTTCCATTTAGGGAGCATCAAGGAGACAGAAGGCCAGCAGAGACTTAACCACAGGTTTTCTTAATGGACACCAGTCAGAGGTGCAATCGGAAGCAGCTGTTATTTTTTTCATCAAGAGCAAGACAAGAAGCAACAGGTTTGAGCTTAATTCAGCAGAAGGGATTTAGTGCAAATATCAGGGAGAACTTCCTGACAGCGAAGGTCAGGATTATTACTCCTATTACTACTGCTAGCAAGGAGCTCTGGTGGCCCTGTGGTTAAGGCATTGGGCTGCTAACTAAAAGTTGGCAGTTTGAACCCTACCAGCCACTCTGTGGGAGAAAGATGAGGCAGTCTGCTTCTGGAAAGATTTAGCCTTGGAAACTCTATAGGGCAGTTCTACTCTGTCCTATGGAATCGACCGGATGGCAGTGGGTTTGGTTTGGATTCATACTGCGGATAGTAATGCTCATTGAGCAGGATACAATGTTGTAAGTATCTTCACAGGTGACTGGCGAAAGTGTGGAAGTACTTCCTGTAAGCGTTACGAACTCACTCTAACTCGCTGCCATCGAGTTGATTTTCACTCATAGCGACCATTCCTTGGGTTTCTGAGGCAGTATTACTACAGAAGTAGATTGCCCAATCTTCCTTCCGAGGAGTGGCTGGTGGGTTTGAGCCTCCAGCCTTCTGGTTAGCAGTCAAGTGCCTTAGGCACTACACCACCAGAGCTTCTGTAGGCTTTAAGAAAGGGCTGCAAATTGGCAGTGGGTCTTAAAAGTGCCCAATCCCTTTGACCAATTTATTTCATTTCTGGAATTTTTCCCTTAAGGAAATAATCTAGTATATAGACAATGCTTTACATCCACAGCTTATCAAAAATACTGTTCAAAACTCAACATTGGACATGATTTAAAGTGATAAAGTAGAAGAATGATTAAATAAATTATAGCATATTCATTGATGTAATGAAGGGTAATAAAAATGTGTTTGTAAAGAATTTAAAAGACATGGAAAATGTTCCTCATAAAGTTATGTAAATATACAAGGCAGTATAGAATTACATATTTATATACAAACCCACTGTCATAGAGTTGATTCCAACTCATAGTGACCTCCATTGGGTTTCCAAGGCTATAAGTCTTTACAGAAATAGATTACCTCATTTTCCTCCTGAGGAGGATTTGAATCACCAACCTTCTGATTAGCAGACAAATGCCTTACCCACTATGCCACCAGAGCTCATTACATTCATATATATATCCCCAGTATACATTCATAGGCAGGAAAACCCCAGGAAGGAAAAACACCAAAAGTTAAGAGCAGAGAGCACTGGGACTGTAGGTGATTGCAATTCCTTCCTCCTATTTCACATTTTTCTAAAATGAGCATGACATTTTTCATAACCAGTAAAGTAAATAAACAAAGAATGAATGAATGCATGTGACTTGGATAGGCATCATTCTGTTCAGAGTAGTGTAGGTGGCTGAAGATTTGGGCATGTGCTCAGAGTTCCATGGAAGTCCCTGATTTTATGTTTCTTGCTCAATGCAATATCCTTCCTTTGAAGTGACCTTGATGATAGAGACACGGCCACAAATGACTGTGTTGTGCACCTATAATCACTACAGTGATGTTTTGTAGACTAGGGGCATTTCAAAGGACAAAACACCAAGGCCCAGCTTCTGGTTGGCCAAGCAGGGATCCCTCCATCCTGCAAGACAGAACACAGGGGAGCAAAGAAGGTTCCTGGCTCAGGGCGTCCTCCTACCTGGCAGAGAGGGTGAACTCTCTTCCAGAGTCAAGGTCTCATAGCTCCTGTGTCTCCTGTTATGTGCGGGTTGTTGTTTGTGTCCCTTTCTGGCTTTGCTCACCACCTGCCAGGAAACATTTTATGAGAAGCTGTGGTGGCTTCCAGCCAGGGGGTGGGGAGCTGTTGTTAAAGGATTCTCTTTTCTCATTGGTGAAGAACCCCTTAGGGATGGGAAATGGAGTAGCCCATAGGGTGGGGACTATCCTTCCCTAATTACTTTCCCTCTCTTGCTTGGGGATCTGATTCTTGCCCTTTGGTAGTAGTGCCCATTCCTGGCACAGATCTAATTTTGTCCCTAATTGTATAATTATCCTGAGGAGGTTCCTGGCCCGGGATCAGCCCCAGAGAGCTGCTGAGCTTAGGGTAAACCACTCTGTAGACTTCTTGCTACCCTTTAAAAGTAATGCATGCAGCTGACGTGAGTCCATGCTGTGGGCAACTTTGAGAGAGATTATAGTCACAGAGGGAGCTCTGGTGGTGTAGTACCTAAGACATTTGAGCACAAACCAGAAGGCTGGCGGTTCAAACACACCAGTCACTCTTCTGAAGGAAGATTGGGCAATCTACTTTCATAGAGATACTGCCTCGGAAACCCATGGAGGGGTTTCCGATTATGAGTCGGAA